TGATCCAGGACTCCATATCCAACAGCACACCTGGACTTTGGAGAATATAAATCCCAACACAACCAGTAAAAATTTCCAAACACAACGCTATATATCCTTAATTTTTCTGCTTGTTGTGCTTGATCCTAGGAAATCCCACCGAGGACTTGGAAGTACATACCCGCCCATTTTCCTTCTCTATCCTTCCAGCAGGTGCCAAAAGTGGAATGACAGGGTCAGGATTAGCCTGGCACTTGCCCATGGCTGTTGGACAAATCTGGAAAGCAGTCTGTCTTTCCCAGTCCTCTGAGGGCTCCCCTTCCCTGAGCCCTCAGAAATTTACTCCATCCTTTCTCCTCCAATAGTTACTCCTCCCACAGACAGCATGGCCATGTTTCCATTTTGCCTCCAAGCCTGCTAACGAAGTCCCCTCCTTCACTTCTCCACATATGACACCTACTCCAGATAGCAGTGTCCAGCTCACAGAGGACAAAGGCACTGATGGTCATGTCCCAGTCTGCTCCAGTCAGAAGCAAAGGAGAAGCACCACAGAAGGAATGCACTGGCCACATCAAGACAGCCATGGTCTGCAGAAAAGTGGAGGGAAGAGGCCCCACTTGCACCCAACAGTGGACCCAGGATGCTGCCCCATCTCTGTCGTCTCCAATCTGATGTCATTCCAAGTAGGCCACGCTTCCAAATACTCTCCACCTGCAACCTCACTGCATGCCCCTGAAGCCTGGCTCCCACGCTTTGGAAGTACCCCCAACAGCATCCAACCCTGCTGGCCATAGCCACCTCTCACTTTTCAAACTCCCCTCTCCTCCCTAGCCTGCCTCAGGCACCCTCACTCTCCTCTGGCAGGTGGTTTCCTCCCGAGCTCCCAATTGCTCTCCCTGACACAAGCCTTCATTCCCTAAACCAAGAACGCGCCCCAAGCCCCAGACGGACACCAGCATCTCCGCTGACTCCAACAGACTTGAAGCTCCACTTCTCCATCACATACATCTGCTACTCCAGGTTCAAAAGCGTGGAGTCATTCCTTTAAAATTTTTCTCAACATCACAAAATTCCAAAATGCTCATTACACCAATCTTAGAAAATATAAACAAGCAAACACTGACAAACAGCAGCCACCCACAATTCTACCTTGGAAGGAAACCGTTTCATTTTGAAACATCCATCTCATTTTATGCAAACACATTTCATGTTCTTTTCAAACATGGGAAGCTGTGTGCATATTCTATAACCTACATTTCTCAAGTAAAAATAGAATATCCTGGGGGCACTAGGTGGCTCAGTCGGTTAAGCATCCGACTTCGGCTCAGGTCATGATCTCACATTTTGTGAGTTCGAGCCCCGAGTCAGGCTCTGTGCAGAGCCTGGAGCCTGCTTTGGATTGTGTACTCCCTCTCTCTCTCTGCCCCTCCCCGTTCACTTTCTCTCTTTCTCAAAAATAAACATTAAAAAATTCTTAAAAATACAATATTGTTAAAGCCACTTTTAAAAGTAATGGTTGAAATGTATCAAATGTACAGAGAAGCATATCATTAAAAGCCAGATCAACAAAACCTGAAGCCCCTGAAACCTGCATTGTTTTGCCATGTGATTATGCCACAAAGCTTAAATACATTTCCAGCTTCTAACATCAGAGTTCCATCTTACTTTCCAATCTTTCCTGTTTCTTCAGTACTAGGACCTACCATTTCCCATTTCTCATTTGGCTCCTTCCTTCAAACATGGATTTTTTTTTTTTTTTTTTTAAATAGGCTTCACATCCAGTGCAGAGCCCAATGCAACGCTTGAACTCAGGACCCTGAGATCAAGACCTGAGCTGAGATCAAGAGTCAGACGCTTACCAGACTGAGTCACCCAGGCACCCCAAACATGCGTCATTTTTAAAGTCCCACTAGCTCCAACCTCTCCCAGGCCCATCTCATTCTGCACAGTTGACCATCCCTAAAACACTGTCACTCTCAGGCTAAAAGATCTAAATAGCCCCCAGTGCTCCACACTAGATCCCCCTAATTGCTCAACCCCGCCACCTCCAACAGCTCTATAAAAACGCTTCAGGTGCTTAAAAAATTCTCAAAGGCCACTGATCTAATGCCTCTGCAAGAATCCTCACCAATGCGGTGGGAGCTTTATAAGTTCGCGCTGAGCTGAAGCTGCCACACTGCATAACCTTCACGCTAGCTTTGGCTTCACCTCCAACCCACTCTTCCTCAGTGACATGCAGGGCACTGGTTCCTCTCCTGGGTACACAGGACTGTTACTCTCTCCACATGACCCCAACACCTCTGTTGCTCTGATGACTGCTAGCTGGTTCCAGGCTTCCCACTCACTTCACCACGTGCCTACTCCTTTCCCAAGATCAAGAGACCCATGGGAAAGCGGACCTCTGCTGAAGTCCTGAAGTCTGACCTCAGACACACCTGCTGAAGGGGGCTGACACAGGCCCTACTGGTAGGCTGTGGCAGGTCAGCTCCTCCTAACACAACCAGAGCAAGACTCTGGAAGTGAGGCCTCCCACACCCCTCCCACCTTGTAGTCCGGGCTCTTCAGATGGCTTCATCCTCTTTCCACACTCATTACCACCCCACATTCACACACACACACATCTGTGTACTCACACACACTATACATCCAATGGTGGCAAGGGTTACACTCTCACACTCCAGGCCACAGCGTTAACTAAAGGTGAGGGCATCAGTCCTCCACGGGGCCATAACCCACCTTCTGCTCTTGTCCAAACCCTCAAAGGAAGGACAACACAAGGGATGGATCCCCACATACCAGAGAACTGGGCCAAGACTCAACATGGGAGAACAGGAGTACAGAAATAGAGTAACTTCTTGCCACTCAGTATACTGTGCCTCAATTGTTCTTCAGATGGGGTCTCTGACCAATGTTAAGTAGAATTTAGTTAAGAGGACTCCTACCACTGGAGTTTTTATTGAAAACACACATACACACAAATGTACACACGTGCGCGTGCCCACACACACACACCTTTCATTAGGAAATTAAGGAAACCATTCCTCTGAGTGTAAGACAGGTTTCTTTTATTAATTTTTCCTAAACTTGTCTGTTTAATGTTTCTCTTAGTGTAAGAACGTGACCCGGAGCTTTAACAAACCAATTTGGATAATGCAACCTGGATAAATGCTTGTCTGCAAACAAGTCCTCAATTACCATACACTCTCTGGCCTGGCCTCCAAGTTAATCCAATTGGTTTTAAGGCCTGTCTAAACAGAGAGCAAGCAGACCACATCATCTTATTTCTAGTTTAAACTTTAAACTTCAGTTTTACCCCCATCCCAACACCCGCACCCTCCCCCACACAAAAAGGTTTTTTAGAAGAAATGGCCATTAAAGGACGAGTCAGTTGCATAAGAATTGGCTTAATCCTGCAGCCAGCAAGCCAAAGTTAGCTATTGGCCTCAGCGCAGGCCAGCTGGAACTCAAAGCATGAGGGGTAGAGAATGAATAGAGGACACTCTAAGAACAGGGCCAAGTCCTGGTGCCAGAGGCTTCCATGTGTGCTTACACACCAACATAAATACACTTCCACCTTCCTCCTCTATGCACTGTTTCTCTAGAGCACTTCAGAAACTTATAACACTCTGAAAGTTTTTAGTGCAGATAGGGACAGAAACTTATTCTAAATAGGCAAAGCATCTTATTTCTAACAGCATAGGCCAAAATTAACAGAGAGGCACTCTGTCACACAGATAACAATTACAAAGATCCAAAATGTAACCGATGAAGCTTATAATAGCTTCTAAGGCAGGTACCAGCTGTAGCCTCTAATACAGGCTTCCCTTGGAGTTTCCAAATGCTTCCCTATCAACACTGCCCTATAGGGCAGTCACAGGGAATGCTTTGGTGCACCTGACATTGGCCGCACAGAAAGAATGTGGTGATGGTGGAATCAGGCACCGCACTTAACACTAATTTCAGACTCACCCAGTACAATCCAGTGTATCTTAGGGGTTTTTTTGTATGATCTGTCAGCTGTTTAACACATAAATTGGCAGGTTCATGGCAGGTATTAACACTTAACACACAGTGACTGTGAATGAGCTAAAAAGCACTTTTAACTCTTGTCCTAGGACTTCAAGCTATACTTCAAATTTACACAGAACATCTCTCACCTGAATGAGCAGGCCAGGATACAAATCTTTACACCATAATTAACAAGAATCAATTCCTCAGTTCAATTTACCATGCCTATATCCAACAATACATCTATCCAATTCTAACTTCCCAACGAGAAAATGATTTAGACTTGATGCTTGGGGCATTATAGTGAACGTACTTTCAGGAATATTCTTTCTCAGGAAGAGCTTCCAGGTCCAAAATCCTCAGTTATCCACTTGCTGCAGGTGAAGGGGTCCATTTCCCCAAGAGCAGCACATGGCATTTGTAAGAGGAGCTCCTCTCCTGGGGGCGAGGGGCGGGGGAGGGGGAGGTGTCCCAGTGGAGTGAAGCAGCGGGAAGGAGCTCAGAGAGCACACTTCTCATGTTCTGCTATGTTAATTAACCCATGCCATGCCATGCTCTAGCCCTCAGAAAGAGGGGGACCCCAGCCCCATCCCCACACCAGGCAGGGAGCCTTCATGGCAATCTCTCCAACAGATTTCTGAAGCACAGTTTCCAGAGTTCCTGCCACACAGGTCACAATGAAAAGTCTGCTTGACAGGTAGTTAGAGCTTTTGCTATAGCTCAGCCTTCCAAAACAAACTTATCTTTGTGTAAGCATGATTAAACATAAAAGGAGTGAAGCAGAAGCTCGGTAAGTAAGACTAACTGGGCTTCTAAATAGTACCATTATGAAAAAGATACAATGCACTTAATTTCTGTATCTAACTATTTAGAAGTCAAAATGCTCCATACATTACCTATATCCCCTCCCCCGAAATCCCCTAAAAACTGACTAAGAAATCTCCAGTATTTGATTGCTCTAGTTGATATTTAGAACAAAGTTGACAACTTAAAGCTTTATAATAGTCTGTTTTAATATAAACAATTGTTGGAATCAATCAATGTCCATTTCAGGAAGCTTCTTGTCTGAATCCGAAGGCACAGCTGTGTCTGTACCCTGCTCGGCAGCCTGAGGGCCTGGGCTGTCTCCTTGTCCATCCACTGGTCCATTCTGCTCTGCATTTTTTTGCTCCTCTTTTGGAGGTTCCACTTTGGGTTTGGGCTTTGAAATTATAGGGCTACAGATATTCATCAGCTCCTAGAACGACAGAAGAGAAAATCGTGGGTTCTTACAAAATAACAAATTTGACGTGACCCACTCAAATGAACCCAAGCCCACCGTCTCCCAACCAGAAGCCAGAAACTAAGATGTAGTAACGAAGTTCCCAGCTAAGTGTCACTTTAAGGATTGTTAATAATTAATAACAAGGCTGACAAGAAAAGATAATTAAATATCAAGGCTATAAATTACCTTAATTTTAGCTTCAATCTCTCTTGCCTTGACAACTGGATCCACGGTCAGACTCTGCTTGTTCTGCAGATTCAGTTTGTTATTCATCCACTCCATGGCTTCATTTGTGCTTTTCTCCACCTTCATCATGTCTGCAGCATCCAAATGGTCATACTGGTCCTCCTGCAACCAGGAGACAACCGGACAAGGGTCAAAGGATGATACTCTACCCACCCAAATATCCAGTTGTCTGCCATCCTTCAGAAAGTTACAGGCTTTTCAAAAATGAAGCACATTTAGCCTCACAGTCTCAAAAGAAATTCAATTCCTTAAAAAAATTTTCAAGAAAGAGTAACCCCAATATTTAAAATACTCAGGAAACAGACTTAAGGGCCAAATATACACATAAGATAGCAATTAAAAGACTTCAACAGTATAAAAAGCACAGGCCTGACACACAATCTTATGAAGATAATTTCACAAACATGACATTACAGGCCATTAGATAGGAGAACTGAAGTTTAGGCATACTAGTGAGGAACCAGAATAACAAAAACAATTTTATAAAGGAGACCTTTCAGAAGCAAATTCTTTTTCAATAAATAAGCCCAATTTATCACTCAAAGCTTCTTACACTGACAGACCATCAAGAACCTGGACTATAGTGAGTGGTTAAGAACCCATACTTTGTGGGGCCAGACGTCAGGCCAAACCCCAGCCCCTTCAATAGTAATTTGGGAGGGGTGCCTGGGTGGCTCAGTTGGTTAAGTGTCCGACTTCGGCTCAAGTCATGATCTAACCTTTTATGAGTTCAAGCCCTACATCAGGCTCTGTGCTGACAGCTCAAAGCCTGGAGCCTGCTTCGGATTCTGTGTCTGTCGCTCTCTGCCCCTCTCGCACCTGCACTCTGTGTCTCTCTCTCAAAAATAAACATTTAAAAAATTTTCCATAACAAACCAAACTGTATGCCTAATCGTTCTCAGAAAGACCAGGATAGAGCAGATTAAGTAAATGATAAGCATTTCAGAGCAAGAAAAGGAAACTGAACAATACTGCTCACTTCCAGATTCTACCTATTAAAACAGAGTAGCAAATCACAGCGTTCTTAGTAAGAGTCAATAAAATATCATACACATTACACTAACATCCAAAAAACAAAACAACCCAGCAGTATTACTGAACAATAGTTGAAAAGAAGAAAAGAAAAGAAAAGAAAAGAAAAGAAAAGAAAAGAAAAGAAAAGAAAAGAAAAGAAAAAAGAAAAGAAAAGAAAAGAAAAGAAAAGAAAAGAAAAGAAAAGAAAAGAAAAGAAAAGAAAAGAAAAGAAAAGAAAAGAGCTGTTATGCCTCAAAACTTAACTCTACCAAAGTAAAAGTAGGGAAAGGAACAACAACAACAAAAAAAATAGATACCTTGTTTTTGAAAGAGCTGATTACTTTCATATACTGTTGGATTTGTTTCCCTAGTTCTTCAAATAATTTTGGTCTTTCTTCAGATTCCTGGAATCGCATCTTAATAGGGTGACCTAGATTCTTAACAGACGAAAGAATGCTTAAACTATCAAAGTAGTATTGTCTCTACTATTACCGAGATCTACTATGGAATACATTTCATTTCCATGTGCTATATATAAAAAGCCCAATAATGCTCCCCAGCCCAGTGAAATATATCCTTAGGCTAAATATGAGAATATACCTCTATACTGGTTCCATGTGGAGCCACATTTCAACTTGTCACTGGAGTCCTAATTTTCAAAACACAGTGGGGAGACAACCCAAAAATAGGTGCCTCCCGATAGTGATACACAATCCTAAGTATGAAGCACATGTGCCAAAAAAACAGTTTGTAAATTAAATCTGAAGTCTCTAGTTCTAACCATGAATTTATTAGATGGCAATAAACACCACAGAAGTAAATTAGACAGTAATAAGCATAAAAACAAACAAAAAAAACTAGATCAGATTTTCTAGTTTTTTTGTCTTGTTTTGTTTTGTGTTTAATAACTAAGGGGGCAGAAAGATAACTACACAGATTGAGGAGACAAAGGAGCATGTATGGTCCTTATGGCGTTCCTGAGTCAAACTAACTAAAAAATACTTTATAAAACAACTGGAATTTGAAAACTAAATACACAGTAACATTAAAGTGGTATTAAAGGAGCGCCTGGGTGGCTCAGTTGGTTAAGCATCCGACTTCGGCTCAGATTATGGTCCCACAGTTTGTGGGTTTGAGCCCCACATTGGGCTCTGTGCTGACAGCCCAGAGCTTGGAGCCTGATTCGTATTCTGTGTCTCCCTCTCTCTCTGTCCCTCCCCTACCCACCCCCTCTCAAAAATAAACATTTAAAAAAAATTTTTAATTAAAAAATAAAAAAATAAAGGGGAGCCTGAGCGGCTCAGCCAGTTAAGCATCTGACTCTTGGTTTCGGCTAAGGTCATGATCTCACAGTTTTTGAGTTCAAGCCCCCACGTCAGGCTCTGCACTGCCAGGATGGAACCTGCTTAGGATTCTGTCTCCCTCTCCCTCTCTCCCCCTACCCTGCTCACTCTCTCTCAAACTAAATAAACATTAAAAAGGGGGATGGAGGTGGTGGGGGGGATACGAAAGAATTTTTTAATGTAATAATGATATATAGTTTAATGTTGCATTTTCTTTTAAACACATACTGAAATATTTTCAGATTAAATACAACACAAAAGACTTTCATCAAATACCTAGGAGTGGAAGGGAGCAAAAATGAAACAAAATTGGTCATCAACTGACAAAAGTTGAAACTACTGTTCTACTTTGCTGTGTTTGAACATCGCCCATAATAAAAACTAAAACAAAAAACTCAATCTGAAGGATCTCTCTGGAAGCTCTTAGTATCCTTCCAGAATGACAGGAAATTTGACGGCATGGTCCTTGAGCAATTCCATTTCAGAAGGGAGTCACAATGGCCCAGTTTGACAACAAAGTAATCCACAGAAAGGTGAAAAGTTCTTCTTGTGCATTTGCATCCTTTTGCAAACAAAGGCCTCAACCTTAGATCATTTTTTGTTATTTTTTTTTAAATAAAGTTTTATTCAAACACAGTCACTTGATTCATTTGCAGCCCTTAACTCACAGAAAAGGCAATGACCCTGGACATGCACTAAAACATTCAGTGTACCAGGAATTATCCAAGGGCCTTTAGATCTTCACCCTAACATTCTCCCAACTGAACTTTTTCAGCCCCTTCATTTTTTTGTGCTTTCAACCCTAAGTTTAATGATCAGATTCTTTAATACAAGACCAGATGTTTTTGCTTTACTGAAAATCAAAGCTATATGGGGCTCCCGGGTGGCTCAGTCAGTTAAGCATCCGATTCTTGGTTTCAGCTCAGATCATGACCTTGCAGCTTCATGAGTTCAAGCCCCACATCGGACTCTGTGCTGGCAGCATGGGGCCTCCTTAA